GCGATGTCGGAAGTCTCCAAGATGGACAAAGAGGGCACGGCTCAAGATGAACAGCTGCAATAATGAAGGAGCGCCATGGCAGGAAGGGGAGACTGAATGGTTGGGACAATATAATTGGGGGGTGACAAGGGAGGGAAGTGGGCGACAGAAGGAAGATGCAAGCAGGAATAAGCCACACGGATCAGCGTCTGTTTTCAAAGGGAGGAGGGGGGGGAGGGAAAGAGGAGGGGATTCAGAGTGGGAGTGGCTACACATGGGTCACGTGATTTATGGGAGGTCTGAGCTAATATTGCTGTGTAGATGTAGATCCCGCGTCGCCTGGCCCCCCAGGCAACGCCTGTGTTTTTGTCTTGCCCTAACACTGCGGAAGTATATTGCGTTGCCTATTGCAAAGCTCCAATTTGTGCAAGGTTGTTTTAAAACGCTGTAATCAACGAAAGCGTTCGTGCGATTGACAACGGCACATTCCCAAGGGCCGCGTTTCAATTGCTATAATGTAATCACAATGTTGAAAAAAAATAAAAGTTAGGCCCATTGCTCTCACGACACTGTCTGTGGTTACCAAGCCAGTGCTAACATTCCACGTTCATAGGGCAGGGGCAAGTATGTCCGTATGCTCACATACACCGTCGTCTTCACAGGGGTAAGTGAGCAAACCTCACCAGCTGCTGTCAATTTATTCCAGAGGCGATGACGTGCGACTGCGCATGGCAACGAGTCAGCCCCTCGACAGTTGTGGAGTCGCCCACATGCCACACGGTAATCAGAACCAGAATTTATACTAAAGGAGGAATCCGATTAGCTCTAAAGCTCTTTTTCAAATATGTCCAAGTAGGGGCACGAGGTAAGAACGCCACAACAACAAACAAAACAAAAACACGATGGTAGTGCAAAGTACAGGAGAGGTAAACAAGTCACCCAAACCCAAACAAGTACAACAACTAAACCATCCTCGTCCTACCAGGCGAAGCCCACTGAGGCATCATAACGAACACCAGGCTGGACTTCACTGGATGGGACAGCCATCCGACACACAGACTTCCACATATACAATATACCCCCCACCCCATATCGTCTTTAACAGACTGTTGCGGCAAGTGTTGTTAGCGAGCACCTATTAAGGCCGGCACGGCACACGAGGGGGCTTGTTGGCCAGCCCCCACGCCAGGTACTTTTTAAGGCCGAGTCGCCCTAGGGGAGGTCCAAACTCGGTTCAGACATTCGTCACCGATGTGTAGATGGGAGTCCCGGGTTCGATATCGAACCCGGGACTCCCATCTACACACTCGCATACACAGACTCGCTCACTCAGCCCTACACATACCTTGCACACAGTCACCGCACTCACATAATGACTCAGAGGCATACTGACAAGTCCCACACACATACAGACTGACACACACAGACTGACACACACACACAGACTGACAGACACACACAGACTACACACAGACTGACAGACACACACAGACTGACACACACACACAGACTGACACACACAGACTGACACACACACACAGACTGACACACACACACAGTCTGACAAAGATAAACAAAGACAAAGATCCCCCGTATAGCCTGAACAGACTGTAGGGGCAAGTGCTGTTAGCGAGCACCTATGAAGGCCGGAACGGTACACGAGGGGGTGGGTGGCCAGCACCACGCCCGACCGCCTTTGTCTCCCTAGCGGCGATGTTTACACATCGCACCAGGTACTCATTTGAGGCTGAGTCGACCTAGGGGAGGCCCAGGACCGGTTCAGATAATCGTCACTGGTGTTAGCCGTGAGCGGGAATCGAACCCGGGTCGCCAGGTTCATAGCGCAGCGCGCTAACCGCTACACTACCGCTCCCCACAGGCATACTGACAAGTCCCACACACATACAGACTGACACACACAGACTGACAGACACACACAGACTGACAGACACACACAGACTGACAGACACACACAGACTGACAGACACACACAGACTGACACACACACAGACTGACACACACACACAGACTGACACACACACACAGACTGACACACACACAGACTGACACACACACACACAGACTGACACACACACACACAGACTGACACACACACACAGTCTGACACACACACACAGTCTGACACACACAGACTGACAGACACAGACTGACACACCGCCCTGACACTCACACAGTGATGACTCACAGAGACAAAGATCCCCCGTGTCGCCTTAACAGACTTTTGGGGCACATGCTGTTAGCGAGTAGCACCTGGGGTGGGGGGAGGTGGCCAGAACCACGCCCGACCGCCTTTGTCTCCCCAGTTAGTGTTGTTTACACACCGCACCGGCTACTCACTTAGGGCTGAGTCGACCTAGGGGCAGGCCCGGCGTGACTCACAAAGACACTCTAACACCACTACCCCGCCGTTCGTCACCAAGCCTGTGCCAGGCTAGGTGCACTCCGAGGCTGTCGCGTGAAGTGTCGCGGGCTCGCTGCTGACAGGAGGAGGTCTCGGGACAGACCCAGGTGGTGCCAGGGGTTGGCCGACTGAGATGACCGGCAGCTGCACCACCACCAGCTGTACCCCCCTTACTGTGCCAACACACAAAGACACAACACTCACACACAGACACTTGCACACACTCACACACAGACACTCATAGACAGACACTCACACACAGTCACCCATACACTCACACACAGACACCCACACACACAGACACCCACACACACAGACACCCACACACAAAACAAAGAAGAACCCCCGTATAGCCTTTAACAGACTGTTGGGGCAAGTGCTGTTAGCGAGCACCTATGAAGGCCGGAATGGTACACGAGGGGGTGGGTGGCCAGCACCACGCCCGACCGCCTTTGTCTCCCTAGTGGCAATGTTTACACACCGCACCAGGTACTCATTTGAGGCTGAGTCGACCTAGGGGAGGCCCGGGACCGGTTCAGATCATCGTCACTGGTGTTGGCCGTGAGCGGGAATCGAACCCGGGTCGCCAGGTTTGTAGCACAGCGCGCTAACCGCTACACCACCGCTCCCCACAGACACCCACACACAGACACACAGACACACACACACACACAGACACTCACACAGACACTCACACAGACACCCACACAGACACAGAGACAACCACACCCCACCCCCCACACGCCTCGCGTCCCGACCCTCGGCCTCGGCGGGGTGACGGCGACGACGCCTCGGGAGCGAGACGCGAACACTGCCCCGTGAAGACGACGCCACGAGGCACGAGGCAGCAGCAGCAGGAGGAGGCGGCATTGACCACAACTTCCGTGGTTTAGCAACCCAACCTGGAAACCGCATAGCCCGGTTCGGCGAATTTTGTTTTAAGGATCTGTGAACTTTTAAAAAGGTTGTTTTAAATCGTCGTCGTCACCACCACCATCATCATCATCACCTGAGTGCTCTTTCAGACATCCACTGCAGGCCCTTGACGAATCGTCAGAGAGGGAGGCACCTTTAGCCGATAAGACATCATCAGCGTGATGGAAGCCGCCACACATTTTTAAACCATTTTTTGGGTTGACAGCAGCGCGATGATGGACGATGATGATGACGATGATGATGGATGATGATGGGGGGTGGTGTTGTCACTCTTCGTGTAGTGTCAGGGGGTCGCACGAAAGGCCACCAGGGGGGCTCGCCATTGCCCCCCCCCCCCTTGCAATTAAGAACGCTGCACGATATCGTCTCATGCCCGCCTGTCTCCACGCGCTACATACGCCGTACAGATGGATACCGTAAGATTCCAAGCCGTGTCCTCACCCCCCACCACCACCACACCCGCCTAACCCCAGCCATGGCACGGTTAAGGCAGACGGGGGGGTGGTGGTGAGTGGTGGGGAGTGGAGGTGGTGAGTGATGAGTATTCACACAGAAAGACGAAGCTGTGCTCGGCCCTGGGAGATCACGAAGCCCTGAATCCACACTCCTCCAGCTGACCTACACGGAGCTCCACTACTCCACACGGAGCTCCACCACACTAGGCTGAGCTCCACCACTCTACACGGAGCTCCACTACACTAGGCTGAGCTCCACCACTCTACACGGAGCTCCACCACACGAGACGACGCTACACACGACTACTCGTCCCACACACTTCCACCACACTCGCTTGAGCCGCCAACGAAAGTCTGAGCCCCCCCCCAACCACACAGCGGATTTACACTCCAGCACGGAGCTCTCTACTCCAACACACGCGGGGGGTCCGTGCGCTACACAACAACACTGCCACCAACACTGCCACCCCATCACAACAACACTGCCACAACACCACACACCAACTACCACCACTGCCACAGTACAACACACCAACCACCAACACTGCCACCACCACCCCACCACACCTACACTGCCACCCCACCACTGCCACCACTCCACCACTGCCACCCCACCACTGCCACCACTCCACCACTGCCACCCCACCACTGCCACCACTCCACCACTGCCACCCACCACACAACAACACTGCCACCCCACCACTCCACCACTGCCACCCACCACACAACAACACTGCCACCCCACCACTCCACCACTGCCACCCCACCACACAACAACACTGCCACCCCACCACTCCACCACTGCCACCGCACCACTCCACCACTGCCACCCACCACACAACAACACTGCCACCCTACCACTCCACCACTGCCACCCACCACACAACAACACTGCCACCCCACCACTCCACCACTGCCACCCACCACACAACAACACTGCCACCCCACCACTCCACCATTGCCACCGCACCACTCCACCACTGCCACCCCACCACTGCCACCACTCCACCACTGCCACACTGCCACCCCACCACTCCACCACTGCCACCCACCACACAACAACACTGCCACCCCACCACTCCACCACTTGCCACCGCACCACTCCACCACTGCCACCGCACCGCCGAGCGTCTCCCCAACCACCCGCAGCTGCTTCCCCTTCCTACTCGGCGATGGGCGCGGCGGTCGCGAGCCGCGGAGGCACTCACGTCGGTCGCGACGACGACGACGAGGGACGAGGAGAGTGGTGACGACGAGGAGGGCGAGCGAGCGAGGCGGTGTCAGGAACGCGGCGTTCACTTCCCCCCTCCCCGACGACGCGAAGACGACGACGACGACGCTGCCGCTGCTCGCTCGACCGACAGTGCGAGCGACGTTTCGCGACTCTCCCCCTCCCTCTCTCTCCCGCGCGCGCCTTCTTTCTCAGAACTCCTCCTCCTCCTGCTGCTGCTGCTCCCGCCTCCTCCTGAGCCTCCTCCTCCTCCTGCTGCTCCCTCCTCCTCCTCCTCGTCGACGACGACGTCGCCCCCTTCCCTCCGCCTCGAGCCCGTCACGGCGGTAGGAGTTGAGGGGGAGGAGGAATCGATTCTCGCCGCTGATGTCGCGCTCACGATTCGATTCCTCGTGTTGACAGTTTTGACGTGGAGTGGGTCGCGAGCACGCCGAGGGCGAGAGGCGCTGTGGGGGGGGCGAGTGGGGGGTGGGGGGTAGGGGGTGGGGGGGGGCGAGTGGGGGGTAGGGGGTGGGGGGGCGAGTGGGGGGTAGGGGGTGGGGGGTGGGGCGAGTGGGGGGTAGGGGGTGGGGGGTAGGGGGTGGGGGGTGGGGGGTGGGGGGGGGCGAGTGGGGGGTAGGGGGTGGGGGGTAGGGGGGGGCGAGTGGGGGGTAGGGGGTGGGGGGTGGGGGGTAGGGGGGGGCGAGTGGGGGGTAGGGGGTGGGGGGTAGGGGGTGGGGGTCTTACTCTCTCACAGGGAACCCGCTGCTACCCGACCCTCACTCACAGTCGTGGGGATATTCAGATGCTCGGTGTGGGTCTACGCTCTCTCTCACAGGGGGGCTGCTGCTGCTGCTGCCTTATCCCGGCTCCCAGTGGAGGGACATTCAAATACTCGATGGAGAGGGGGGTCTAACTCTCTCACAGGGGGCATGCTGCCTTATCCCAACTCCCAGCGATAGAAACATAAAAAAAGATTGATTACCGAAAGAACCAAAGAGTGATTACCCTCAAATTATACAATTTTGGATTGCGCATCAAATCTCTCACGACTGTGAAAACTTGGCAGGACCCTCCTGAAAAACAAAGGCTTCACAGACACTTCTGTAAAATTATTATCGGTTTTTCTCGTGATTTACAGGCCTCTCTGTCTAAACAAGCGAATTTACTGGGTGCCTGACGAAAGTGTTGAATTCTAGTTGTCTGCCCATGCAGCATCACGAAGAACCTGTGTATACTACAGTACTGATAACATAATGTAAAGTACATCGTGTTATTTCAGTTTAAAAAGCTAAAATTGGAAGAAGGCAGCGGCGAACATCGCCTAATTCCCACTGTTCGCGACGATATTCACATTCCGCTCTGCAGTGCAACGCGTTGTTGTGTGGAATAGAACGAGATCTGGATGATTTTGAAAAATGCACCACGGCTGAGTGATTTATACACGTTTTGTGCGTTGTTTGAACCGTATCCTTTTCCAGCCTGTACTATTATTCTGCGATAATAAACACGTTTCCTCGTTATTTACAGATTTGTATTCTTGTTGACAGTAACCAAGCCAATGTGCCCCCTAGTGTGGAAGTGGGGACTTCCCATTTATGGTTCCCAGAAGCAGACCGTGCAGCAGTGACCATTGGTGACTTATATAGTGGACAGACGAGGCCAAAACCGGTCCAGATGCCTCTTGCTGCATTACTGCTGCTGCTGTCAGTCAGTCACATTTTGAATGTGAACTTAGACAAGAAAACACAATGCGCTTCTTCAGACTGCACTGATGTGTTTTTTTTAATACACAATGCACACAGTGCTCTTTACACGTATCTGTGTGTTATTTGAATGTCATAATTGTCCAGCATGCATTATGTTTCGCTGATGATGGGTTTTTCTCGTCCTTTACAGATTTGAGTCAGTATAACACAAAAAAACAGCAGCAAGTTGGGTGTCATCTTAATGAGGACACGCAGACTCCACCGTCTGGGGATGCGCGTTCACAGCGCCACAGAACAACTCATCATCCCTTCCTCTATTCATATCGCTCTTGTGGGCAAACCCAGATAAGTGAAAATCGGTGACATTTGAATGTTATAGTCATCTCCATTGGCATTTATACAAAGCGACTAAATACAATAAATAACTGCTTTCACATGACACCCACAAAGTAGGCAAATGGCATCTCAGGGAGACCCCCTTCTATTAGCAACAACAAAAAAGAGTGAACAAAAAGAATGTTTACATGCATTCATTGAACTGCATAGTCAAATCTGCACAAGGTATAACGGCTTAAAAAGCTTTCGTGACTGCAGAAATTCATATTATCGGGTCTTTCGGTGAAGTCACGTAGATAGGTTCAAAGAAAATTACAAAAAAATACAAAAAAACCACGACGTTACGATCGCAACACAAGCAATCGTCATCAGGAGAAAAAATTAGTGGGAAAGCTGCTGAGGCAGGATGTTTTAAAGGTTTGAAATGGGTGTAGCCCATCTATCTATGAACCTTTATAAACAGTTTGCTTTTAGAGACTAAACCCCCTTTTCCTGATGACGACCGCTTGTGTTACGATCGAAACGTCATGGTTTTTGTTTTTTTATTTAATTTGTATTACTGAAAGAACCAAGAATAAGTCGACATTATAGACTGCCAGTACGCTCACTCAGTTTAATAACCATTGCTACAGTCTACATTATAGACTGCCAGTACACTCACCCAGCTTAAGAACCAATCTACAGTCTACATTATAGACTGCCAATACACTCATCCAGCTTAATAACCAGGCTACAGTCTACATTATAGACTGCCAGTACGCTCACCGAGGTTAAAAACCAAGCTACAGTCTACATTATAGACTGCCAGTACACTCACCAAACTTAATAACCATTGCTACAGTCTACATTATAGACTGCCAGTACACTCACCAAACTTAATAACCAGGTTACTATAGACTGCCAGTACTCACTCCGATTAAGAACCAGGCTACATTCTACATTAGCGTTTATTTATTATTTTATTCACTTTATTTTTTATAATCTTTTCTTCTATCTACGTGACTTTACCGAAAGAACCAACGAATATGAATTCCTGCAGTCACGAAAAGTTTTAAGTCAAAACTGAAGTTCGCTTCTGTGCAGCGTGCTCAAAGTGGGGGGTGGGTGGGTGGGGGGCATTGAATCGAGAATCGATTCCCGCCTGCGTGAATGTCTGCATCGATTACGTAATTCGGAGGCCCATCAAACACGCGCGCCATCAGCATTAAACAATGCGTGTGTACTCTGGGCCACGGCGCTAATCGCGTAGCCTGTTGTATGGGCTCATTTGAAGGTATTTTTTAAAATCAACGAATGTATTCATTTAAAAAAAAATTCGCCTACAAAAATGCTCAGCAGCCGGTGCAGTTTGTGTGCGGTGGGAAATGCAAGGCGCGCCAGCCAATCGGAGGGCGCGTTGCTAAAGGCGGGCGGGAAGCAACAGCCAATGACGGGCCGCGAGACTGAGGAGTGGTGGGGGGGGGGTCGAGTGGTGCCACGCTCATCAGCACGCCGGTAGCCCCACACACACGCGGCACTGCTGCTGCTGCTGTTGCTACTGCTGCAGCAGTAGCTGCTACTGCAGCAGTAGCTGCTGCTGTTGCTACTGCAGCAGTAGCTGCTGCTGTTGCTACTGCAGCAGCAGTAGCTGCTGCTACTGTTGCTGCTGCTGTTACTACTGCAGCAGCAGCAATCGATGTTATTCCATGGGCCAGAACATAAATTGGCCCCACTACAATGTGCCAAAACTTTATTCGTACCGATTATATAATAGCCAATAATAGTGAATTACTTGATAACCCATACTCTTGTGTATGACTACTGTTTTATTTAGACAACTAGCCTGTGAATGGATCGTCTAATTCCTGTGTTCTTCATTACAAGGGGTAACACTCTATCCCGGTGTTCATCATTACAAGGGGTAACACTCTATCCCGGTGTTCTTCATTACAAGGGTAACACTCTATCCCGGTGTTCTTCATTACAAGGGTAACACTCTATCCCGGTGTTCATCATTACAAGGGGTAACACTCTATCCCGGTGTTCTTCATTACAAGGGTAACACTCTATCCCGGTGTTCATCATTACAAGGGTAACACTCTATCCCGGTGTTCATCATTACAAGGGGTAACACTCTATCCCGGTGTTCTTCATTACAAGGGTAACACTCTATCCCGGTGTTCATCATTACAAGGGTAACACTCTATCCCGGTGTTCATCATTACAAGGGGTAACACTCTATCCCGGTGTTCATCATTACAAGGGGTAACACTCTATCCCGGTGTTCTTCATTACAAGGGTAACACTCTATCCCGGTGTTCATCATTACAAGGGGTAACACTCTATCCCGGTGTTCTTCATTGTAAGGCCCCGCGGGCCTCTGGTGGACTTTAGTGTGGCCCCTGACGTTCGGACCCTCAACACAAGACACACACAGTGACCCCCCTCCCCCCCATAATTTATTCCAGGATGTTTCTGTTACGCGTCGTCGCTTTAAGATGTTGTGTTCATATTTTGTTTGTTGCGGTTGCACCCGACTTAAGAGCCGCGTGGCTCACAGAGCTATACCTAATAAATGAAACTTCAAAACTTGATCATCGTCATGCTGCTGTCAAACCCCAACGATGGATTTCAAAATGTGTGGCGGCAGCCCTCACACTGAATATTCGTGAAGAACACTGCCCCAATCCATTAGACAACTCACTGGCAATGAAGCGTAAAGGGAGATATGGAATACAGTAACATAAACAGAGCACATGCTTGGGACCCATTTTTGTTAACGAACAAATATTAATTGCTGAAATGTAACATCGAGCAATTTCAGCGTGAAAGCAGCAAAAAAAGTGTTGATTTCTAGATCATTTCACAAATGGTCGCCATTAGGTGACAATGATGGGACCATACATCACAGCAGAGATATAATCTTACATTTTATGGCATCAGACTCTGTCTCGGATGAAGAGAAGTTCCTTATCGCTATAAGGGACGATGGCCAATGGTGATGAATGACGCCAGTGGCAGCCAAAGAAATGACACCCACAGAGATAACGGAGCCATGAAATAGCCTCGTGTGCAGGCGTGAGTTGGATTTATTACATTGGCTTGGGGAGGTCTTCATCCAGCACCGGATTGCCCACGGACAATGACGATGATTAACTGTTGGATACATTCCCAAGTACAATGAACATCCTGTCGCTAGACGGGATGAGACCAATGGGTTGCGGTC